ATCAGAATTTCTGGGGCTGGGACCCAGCAATCTAGTTTGACGAGCTCTCCAGATGATTCCTTTTTTTTAATTTAAAGATTTTATTTATTTTATTTTTAGATAGAGGGGAAGGGATGGAGGAAGAGAGGGAGAGAAACATCAGTGTGTGGTTGCCTCTCCTGTGCCCCTACTGGGGACCTGGCCTGCGTCCCAGGCATGTGCCCTGACTGCAAATTGAACCCCTGACCCTTTGGTTCGCAGCCTGCGCTCAGTCCACTGAGCCACACCAGCCAGGGCTCTCCAGGTGATTCTTATGCTAAAAGTGCAAAAGCCCTGATCTACATACAGCCATGCCTTGGTTTATGGCACTTCGCAGCTGTTGTGCTTTTTAAAAATTGAAGGCAGGACCCTCCACCAGCATCGTGGTGTCTGGGACTAAACCTGCAATATCTCTGCGGTTTGCCTGTAGTACAGCTTCCTGCCTGGTGTGTGGCGATATGTTGGTCTCTTCAGCTCTTGGGCAGCCTGTCTGGGGCCTAGGGAGGCCTCAGCCCCAGGCTGGTTGCCGTCAACACGAACTTCAACATTTTACTGCAGTGCAGCCCACCGAGTTATCCAAGTCAGGGCCAGACTTCATCATTCTGACCCAGTGTTGCCTAATTGGAGATTTAGTAATGAATTAGAGATGACTCTTACAGGCAGATGTCCTATCTTATTTTCATTCTTGTCTCTACACTGAAATATTCTTGAAGGGCAGGAGCCTAATGTGTTTGGCTCTGATAGTTTTTCTTTTTTATGTGTTATTTAATATTTTTTAAATTTTAATTGTTCCAGTACTGATGGTTTTTCTAATGCCCACAAAGTGCAACATAAAGCAGTCGCTCCGAAATAACCCGAGCGACAGTGAATATCTGTTTCGGAGTTCCGGAGGAAGGGAGGTGGGTGCTCTGGCTGGGGCAGTGAGGGAAGGGTTCAGGGCGGCACTGGAATTGAACTTCGCAGGATGGGTTGGGTTTGCTCAGAATTGAGGGGAGGGGCGTTTCTGCCAGAGGGATGGCGGAAACAAGGAAGTGAGAAAGAACACGCTGTTCGTGAGGAAGTGGGAAAACAGTCCTTGAGTCTCAGGCAATGGACCCAGCCGGGACCTGCCCTTATCTCCTCCAAGATCTCGACTGGCATATGCTTGGTCAGAAAGGTGAGAATGGTTCCCATCCTTTATTTCTGCTCAGCGGCCATTGTCACGACCCAAATCCTTGACCAGGAAACACGTGGCTCTCTACTATGCAGAGCCCTGCCGCTCCTCATTTCATTCTAAGATGACCACTTGACCAGCCGAGAACCCAACGAAGCTGGGTACAGGCATTCATTCCCCTGAGGTCTAGCGCAGTTGCAATCCAACAACTCTGGAACATTTTCCCCAAGGCTCTGAAAGCAAATCACTACCGAGAAGCCACAAACTACTGTTGCGGTCACTCAGTCGTGGAAGCCAGGGCTCAACGGGCCGGCGCTGACCCCACACTCCAGAATTCCCCGGAACTCGGGACAGCGCTGAGAGCGACAGGGAAGATTGTAGCTGAGTCCCAATGGAGGCCAGAACCCTGAGCATCTGTGTTTGTTTTTCCCTCTCCCCAAATCCCGTCGCAATGACAGAACAAATACGAAAACAAAAACACATTCCTTGTAGCAGTAGGGGATCTGAAAAGATGGTGTCAGCTGCCCATAAGGGGAGAAATTTCTGTTCGGTGTAAAGGACATGCACCGGCTTGGTGGCAAAACACAAGGAGGCTGCAAAACCTTGTATCCTCATACAGGTGAAGGGGAAGATGATTGAGAAAGCGGGTTTCCACCAGGATCCTGGGTAGCACAACCCTCGAGTCAGTGGGGGGGGGGAAGAAGCTACGACCTTGCCAGCCCCCAGTTCAGGACGTCAGGAGCAGGGGTGGCCCCGGGATGACCCTACAAGCACAGCTGTCTACCTACAGGAAGAGATCTGCCGTGGGGATCCCCCAAAGGGGGCGGTGCCCCGGAGAAAGAACTGGGCGGGGCCCTGGATAACTTCCGGTCAGGGGCAAGAAACCCCGCCCCCTACCCGGTGAAACTCTCTGATGATCAGTGAAAGGCTGAATCAGTTCCGCCCCTCCTGCTTCACCTACCAGAGCCAGGGCCCCTGTGGTCGGAATCCGCAGTCACAACGGAGGAGTAAGGGACTTCCGCTTAGGCTGGGAAAAGGAAAAGCAGCCCTGAAGGTCACGTGCACTAAGGTGCTCTTCCCCTTCACAACTCCACCAGCTAGCCTGCCAGTCAGTTTCCAGGTAAGTCCTAAAGGGGTGGGTCCAAGTGAGGCCCTAGGGCCACTGTGAGGCCTAGGGCCTGAGTCACCCGGAATGCTTGTTTCAGTTGTACACACCGGTGTGTAGTAAGCCTTTATCCCCAACCACTTCCTGCCCATCCCTCCACTCCCGAGTGATGGAGTAAAAGAAAGTTTTCTACGCTGTAGTCAAACCTTCAAAGATCAGCTGTTTTAATAGGAAGGATGGGATACACTGTGAATTTGTGTTTAATCTCTAGATATTAGAGTAATTGACAGCTTTACTCACTGGTTATCCGTAAGGTTTTTTTTTTGTTATTGATTTCTTATGGGCAGTCACCCAAAAAAGTAAGCATAGGTTTTAAAAGTTTAATTTTTTTAACTAAAGAAGCTTTGTTGTTTGGAATCCAGTGCTTTCATCTGTTTATGAAAGAGACAGTGACCAAGATTTACTAATTGTAAATATGTAGGCTTTAATAGACACGGACGTGAAGTTGATATTAACTGCAACTGTCAATGTTTTTCTTAATGTTCTTTAACGTTCAAGAAGACACGTTTTGAGGAACATATATCTCTTAAGAAAAAACATTCCAGCCAGAAAGAAGGCATCAGGGTGACTGTGGGCCTTTCAATTATATTGGAACGTTGTCTAAGATGCCCACCGCAGGAGTGCTTACATCTGTGGGGAAATGCACTTTCTTTTAGGTATATTTTAATGATTATCCTATTACAGTTGCCCCATTTTTTCTCCCCTTTATCCCCCTCTGTCCTGCATTCAGCTCCCATGAGCATCCCCTCTCCCGCTTAGTTCAGGTCCATGGGTCCTACATAGAAGTTATTTGGGTCTCCATTTCCCATACTTTGCTTAACCTCCCCCTGTCTATTTTGTACCTACCATTTAGGCTTCTTATTCCCTGTGCCTTCCCCCCCCCCTCCTCCTCCACCTCCTACTGCTAACCCTCCATCTGGTGTCTGTTTCTGTGATTCTCTTCCTGTTCTAGTTATTTGCTCAGTTTGTTTTTGTTTTTTTTAGGTTCGGTTGTTGATAGTTGTGAGATTGTGGTCATTTTTCATAGTTTTGACCATCCTCTTTTTCTCAGACAATTCCCTTTAACAGCTCATGTAATAAGATCTTGGTGATGATGAACTCCTTTAACTTCACTGCCACGTCCACTGTCGAGTCCACTGTTGGATCCCTCTCTCCGTGACAAGGTCCTGAGAGGGGGTGTAAGACTTCAAGGAAGCAGTTTCCAACTTGGTGGACGTGGCATGGAAGGCCCTGCAATACCTACTGTGATTGTGCTTGCTTTGGGGATCATGACCTTTTCTGCTTTAATCATTATAAATACCCTTGCAGTGATTCAGATAGTGCACCTAGACCTTTCCCGGCTCAATGAACAGAATAATGATATCATACTAGAAACGTCAGGGAATATAGGTACAAAGAAACAACTAGAACAATCTGAGAATTCAAGCTTAATCAATAACAGATCATTGGAAAAACACCCAAGATAAGATAGAGAACTCTAGGAAATCAGGAGATGATCTCACTGCTTTCTTAGAGGGAATCAAAGTACAAAACATGTCTATAAAGGAACTCCTAGAGAAACTTAAAAGAAGTACCCTTGAAAGCCCCCTGCAACATAGGAATAGCCCCTCCTTTACCTTGAATAAGAATATATATCAACTGGACAGGCAAAGAAATAACAAAAGCTAGCTAGTTATTACAAACTAAACAGTTACTAAAGAATCAGAATTTATAGTACACAGAAAAACATTTTAGACAAAAAAAGGTAGATAGCTAAGTTAGACATCACAAGGGCCTTATAATAAATTTCCTATTTTCTCTAGTCAATCTAGCGTATCCTTTTGCCCTATGACAAATTCTGAGAAACTTTAATATACAATAAAATACTTCTAATTGTCTGATTAATAGCTCTCCTGGTTAAAATAATCTTTGTATATTATAACTAAATCTATGGGAACTTTCGTACTTTTACTGATTACCTTTGTATTAATTTTTCTGCTTAAATGATCATGCTATACACCTGCAAATGTTAATCACTACCTAAAATGAAAATATAAAAACCTGCCTGTACTTACAATAAACGGAACAGAGCTTCACTGTCCTTTGAGGCGTGTTGTCCTCTGTCACCCAGCGCTGACGCCTACCCTCACCTGTGGGACCCCTTGACCCGCTGCGGCCGGACCTCGGCACTTCACCTTATCTGGGAAGCACTTTACCTGCCCTTGGGAAATGCACTTTTGATTGAAGTTCTGTTTGCTCTTGATCAAGCCCCAGACTTTGTGAGATTACATGTGAACTTACCAATTTAGGTCAAGCACAGAGGCATGTGGTTTTGTCCAGTAGAAAAGACAACCCAAAAGTTACAGTTATATTGCAATATTGAATATTAGTCTGTTTTTCTCGAAGTTTCAGAATGCCATTCCCAACTAACTGTGTAAAGCTCTGTTCCTCAGATGGTCTTAGAATCAGTTTTATGGTTCCCTCACTAGTGGGTTGAGTACATCTTTGACACATATTGTGTCCATTGATTGGTACATGAATGAGTCATGTTTTTACCTTCTTAAAAATGATTCTGTGATGTCTCATTTTCAAATAAACCTCAAATCCAAAGCCCAGACTTTCCTACATTTTGTTCTCCTCTTCCAGTTCAACCACAGTCAAATTCGATACTTTTTATTGGTGCAATAAGTGGAACAATAATTGTTGCTTTTGAGAAAAGAATTCAGGCCAAGAAACTCCCGGAAGGTGAGAGAGTGGAGGTGGGTGCATGGCATCTACCGTGGCTTCTCCTCAACCAATCCTTTTTCTCTGTTTCTTAGCTGAGTCCAGGTCTTCCATACAATGCCGAACTCTCCTACTGTGGTGGTCTGCACAGACTTGCTGCCCCCTCTTGGTGATGAATCTGGGGAGAAAGATTATACAGTGAAGAGGGTTCAACAAATATGACTGGGGAGCACCATCCTCCTGGCCCCTAGAATTCCCCCACTCAGCCCATTTTGTTCCCCCCTTTCTCTGCTGCAGGGTCTCAGGGGGCCTCCTCTGGGAGACCCTGCCTCTGGCACCCTCTCAGTGACTCAGGGGCGTGTCCCTGAGCAGCCTTGCTCCTGCTCTCCCCACCCCTCCATGGCCTCCCCCTTCACTGGGAGCATCTTATATCTGATGCTGTGCAGGATCCTAATGAGGACACGAACCTCTGCCGACTTCAAAGCATCCAGAGGGTGAGACTTTTCCGGACCTCCCTCCATCATCAGATCCCCAACCCCAAGACATGGCTGGTAAGCTTGGCACTTACATGACAGCAGGCTGGGAGCACTTACTGCTCGTTTCATAATAATCCTCCATGAATTCACATTGGACATTTTGTGTACCATAGGAGAAGCAGCAGTCACTGGTGTGGCGTGCGTCTGTAGCAGGAGAAAGGTCCATGTAAGGACAGAGCCTCTTTCTGAGGAAACTACATCCTCCCCCCCTTGTCTGCAGAGCACAGGGGAGGGTGTGAAGGGGAAGAGCTCCAGGGGTGCTTCCTCCTCTGCAGCACCTGCTGGCATGTCCTTGCTCCCCCCCTACCCCAGGGTTGAGCTGTGCACCCAGGCAGAGCCAGGACCCCTTCTCCCAGAAGAGGAAGGTGCAATGCTGCAGGAGGCGTCAGGGAGGCCCTTCTCCCCAAGGTGAGCAGACTCCAGGACAGCCAGGTGGGACAGAGGTCGTGTATGGGGAGGGACCCACAGTGCACCCTGGTCCCCCTTGGAGATGTCCCCTCCCCCTTTCCCCATGTCCTGTAAATGAGGAGAACTGAAGCCACTGAGCAGATCTGTACCCAACAGCCGCCTTTAAATACATGCACAATGAAACAACTCCTTGGTCTATTAAGAATTGATCCCAATCACGTATGGCCAACTTGAGTTCTATTGGGAGACAGAGACAAGGAGGGAAGAGGAATCACTGGGAGGCTGCACCGTGTCCGTGTCTCCACCTGTGTCGCCCCCCAGCCCAGCCCCGGGGGAGGGGGGCGACGCTGCTGCTGGACACTGGGCGCCCATCTGTGTTCTGGGCCTGCCCCCTGGCCCGTTGTCTCACTGGTGCCCTGAGATTTCTGAGGGGACTTCTGAAAATGTTTGAGCCATGAAAACGTTCTATCCACTTCCTTTCTTTCCTGTTGACTTTAAATACAGAGAGCAAACAGCAAATGCCACATGGATAAATCAGTCACACAGCCACAGCAGGTGCCATAGCCCACAACATGCTCTCCACGCATTTCTGGAACCCACAGGGCCCTGGAGACCAAAAGATGTTCTTCGTTAAGTGATTTGGTGGCACAAAGTCCCCCAAAATGAAGTGAGGCAATTTATAGTCTTTGTCCCATTAGCATAAATATTCGTGTCTGTCTGTGGCAGAAATGTTACTATTTGATTCTAGTGTGCTTCCCAGAGTCTGCTAGGACTGTTAAGAATGTCCAGTTATATATTATCTTTTGAAAATGTTTATTTTTTTGAATGTGCAGTAAAATACACATAATATAAAATGTACAATTTTGCTCTTCTGTCTCAGACTCTGACTCAGGGCTCTGCAGGGATCGAGACCCGAGAAGTGCATGCTGGGTGGGGCAGAAGTGGGTTCACAGGTGTTTGTGTGGGAATAGTTTAACAGTAATTAAGAAATAACAACACAAGAGTGAGCTCTGTGTTTCCCGTGTTCACAACTGTGAATACACTTTTATCACACCCCGTAGTTATCAGGGGAATGAATGGCAAAGAGACCTGGTGGGGACTGGAAGGGCTCAGGGATCAGATAGGACAAGGCGGAAATGCCATCAGAGCCGTAAGAACAGTCACAATTCTTTGAGGCTCAGAGGGAGCACAGAGCTGTGTACTTTAGACCAGACTGAGCAAATGCTAACCATTTTCCAATGTGCACTTTAAAGCATGAAGGACATTCATATCCTGTGCAACTGTAACCACAGACTACCCACGGGGCTTTATTCGTCTCATAAACTTGCACCTCTGTCCCAGCTGGACAGTGACTCCCCACTTCCCTGTCCCCAGCCCTGGGCCACCACCACTCCACACTGTGTCTCTATGACTTGGCTGCTTTGAGGGCCTCATGTCAGTGGAATCACAGGGTGTTCACCCTGTGTTATTGGCTCATCTCACTTATCATAACGTTGTGCTCAGTGTTCCTCCATGTGGTGGCACGTGTCCCAATTTCTGTCCTTTTTGGCTGAATAATATTCTATTGTGTACACAATGTATCCCCCACTTTGAATCCATTCATTTGTTGATGGACACTTGGGGTGCTTCCCCCTGTGGTGTGTTAGGAATGGTGCGGCTGTTAGCACGGGTGCACCTGTGTCTCCCAGGTACCTGCTTCCTGTTCTTTCGGGTGTGTATCCGGAGGTGGAGTTGCCGGTGATATTGTATCACCTTTTCAAACCTCTGCATTTCAAAGCCTCTGCCTTCCAAAGTGCACCCGGCCCCTGTGTTCTGGGGAAGGGACTGTAGGCCTGCGTTATGCTGGTTAGGCGAACACGCTGAGCTGTTGGCTCACTTCCTATGCAGTTCCCCGTGAGTTATGTTTAATGAGGCACGTGGGTACCGTCCAGTGTGCTCGATATGATGTGTGTGGGGCTGGCAAAATAAAGTCTTAAATGGGTTGGTTTACGTTTCATAACAGCTTCCTAGCTAGATCATATCCTGACTCCACCACTTACTGGCTGTGGGATCTGAGCATGTTATCCAAGGCCTCTGTGCCTCAGCTTCTCATGTGCAAAATGAAACTAATAATAATACCCAAAACTGCCCTGGCTGGTGTAGCTCAATGGATTGAGCACTGGCCTGGGAACCAAAGGGTCTCTGGTTCAATTCCCAGTCAGGGCACATGCCTGGGTTGTGGGCCAGGTCCCCAGTAGGGGGTGCACAGTGGGCTACCGCACATGATGTTTCTCTCTCTCTCTTTCTCCTTCTCATCCTCTCTCTCTAAAAGTAAATCAATTCTTTTAAAAAAAATGCTCAAGACCATGCCCCATGCTGGCCGTCTGCTCCACAGGGTTGTCAGGAGGGTTCGGTGCATCAGTGTCTGTGAGACGATGGCAGTGGTTTCTGCTTGTACAAGGCAGTGGAGGTTTTCACTCGTTACTAAGTCAGTAGGATGGTTGGGTGGACTCGGGTGAGTCACCAGCCCGGCTTGTCCCATCTCCTCTTCAAACTGATAGTCTGCACTGCATGGGATACACTAGTTCAACATTGGAGGCGACTGTGCTTTTTTCCCAAGTTTACAATCTGCTACAATTCTTTGGCTCAAGCTCATAATGGTCCCATATGAGCTAAGGGAAGGTATCAGATATTTGTGGCCATGAAAAGGAAGGAGAATTGTTTCCCGAGTGGTGTGTGCACTTTCCCCAGGGACTAAAGGCCACAGGGCAAGGTCCATACCGTGCTGCTGCCTTTAAGCAAGTGCCAAATTCACCTCCATGGCCCTCTGTCTCCTCTCCTTTCTGGAATTCAGGTTACCACCAAATTGGTCACCAGTGCAAAGGCTCACTGACTCACCAGGGGTCGGGGATCTATGCCGGAAAGTTGCATGGGTGGGGAGTCCAAGGGCAGCAGCAAGGATGAGGAAGGGGAGGGCAGCTGCGGAGACCTTCATCTTGCAGGTGTGAGGGCAGAGCTGGTCTGAGTGCTCCGGGCTCTCTGCTCCCGCCTCCCTGGGACCCAGCTCTGCCCTCGTATTTATCAGAAGAGGGGAATCAGGAAGTCCCAGGGCAGACGTCAACAGAATGCCCTTTGGCTGTACAGTGGCGCCGTGATGTTTCTAAGACGGGAACAACTCCTAGAATGCAACAGGAAGTTGAGGGCAACGATAACTTGGGGTTTTCTCAGCTGCCCAATGTTATCGGCAGAAGTGTCAAAATTTCAGACAGAGGTCTCAGCCAAGAGAGGGTCTGGGGACCCTCTGGCACGAGCTCTCCTGCATTATGAGGGTCGTGGAAGTGCCGCAGGAAGCAGTGCAGGGGTACCAGGGAGCTCTCTGGGTAACTTCTTCCCCTTGTGAAGCAGCTGCCTTCTTCTTGCTCTGTTTGTAAATGTCCTGTCTGCAAGCACCAGATTGCGATGCTTACTTCTGCCCAAACAAATCCTTTTTGTGGAGGGACTACCCAGTCGGATTTTTGTTTATGGTAGACAAGAGTGACCGTATTTTATTTATTTAAGTTGTTTAATCTGAATTGATCACACGTTTATTGACTTGAGAGACAGAGAGAGAGAGAGAGAGAGAGATTGATGTGAGACGGAAACTTCAGTCCATTGCCTCCGTTACGTGTTGCAGTCAGGGAATGACCACGCAGCCTTTCCATGTGCGGGTTGGCTCTTCCACCAACTCAGCCCTCAGACAGGGCTGAGCTCATTTTGTTTTAACGACGGACATGTACGTGTGCCTGTTCTGACTCTGGTTTCCATTACAATATTATTGCTTTTACTAGTTTAGATTTTATATACAAAGTAGCAAACGTTTCTGGTTTCATCTCCCAGTGTTCCATGGCATTTATATTTTTTCTCTTAGTGTTTCTTCTGTTAGGTCATTCATAAAGAGTTATAGCCTGTAGCCCTGGCTGGTGTAGCTCAGTGGGTTGAACATGGGCCTGGGAACGAAAAGATCGTGGTTCAGTTCCCCATCAGGGCACATGCCTGGGTGGCAGGCCAGTTCCCAGCAGGGGACATACGAGAAGCAACCATACATTGATGTTTCTCTCCCTCTCTCCTTCCCTTCCCTTCCCTTCTAAAGATAAATAAATAAAATTTTTAAAAAAGAGCTATAGCCTGTAGCAATGACTGAAGCCCTGGGCGGAGTCCATGAACGTTATTGTTCCAATAACATCAGATTCCCATCTCGTAGCAAGTCAAAATTGCCAGTTTCCTTCGCACACATACTTCTTGAAATATAAGTGTGATTTGTATAAAACATGCTATATATACAAAGTCACTACATTTAATTACCAGTAGACAGAGTCATGAACTCACACTTGAAATGTGGCAAGCGATTCAAGCTGGTGAATGGTGACCACTTCTTCCCTACATCCTCCTACTTTGATTCCCCGAAATACTGATCTTAACTTTGACCTCCATGTGTCAAAAGTTTCCGGCTCTTGCTCTTGAAGTCACTGGGTTACTTCATTATTTTCTTAAGTATATTTTATTGATGATGCCACTCCAGTTGTCCCATTTTTTCTCCCCTTTATCTTCATCTGTCCTGCCCCCCCCCACTAGCATCACCCCTGCCCCCCACCTTAGTTCATGTCCATGGGTCGTACACAGAAGTTCTTGGGCTTCTCCGTTTCCTGTCCTGTTCATAACCTGCCCCTGTCTGTTTTGTACCTACAATTCAGGCTTCTTATTTTCTGCCCCTCTTCTCTACATTCTCCCCTCTCTCTGTCCACACTGACAGCCCTCCATGTAATCTCCATTTCTGTGATTCTCTTCCTGTTCTAGTTGTCTGCTTAGTTTGTTTGTGTTTTTACAGTTCAGTGTTTTATAGTTGTGAGTTTGGTGTCATTTTACTGTTCATAGTTTTGATCGTCTTCTTTTTCTTAGACAAGTCCCTTTAACATTTCATATAATAAGATCTTGGTGAGGTGCACTCCTTTAACTTGACCTTATGTGGGAAGCACTTTACCTGCCCTTGGGAAATGCACTTTTGATTAATGTATTTACTCTTGATCAGGCCCTGGACTTTGTGGGATTACCTGTTAACTTACCAATTTTTGCCTGGAGCAGATGAAAGTGGTGTTCATTCAATAGAAAAAACAACCCAAAAGTTACAGTTATATTGCAATATTGAATATTAGTCTGTTTTTCTCGAAGTTACAGAATGCCATTCCCAACCAACTGTGTAAAGCTCTGTTCCTCAGATGGTCTTAGAATCAGTTTTATGGTTCCCTCACTAGAGGGTCAACTACATCTTTGACACATATTGTATCCATCGGTACTTGAAAGAGTCAAGTTTCTACCTTCTTAAAAATGATTCCATGGTGTCTCATTTTCAAATAAACCACAAATCCAAACCCCACCAATTCCTACATTTGCTTTTCCTCTTCCAGTTCAAGTGCAGTCAAATTGGGTACTTTTTATTGGTGCACAGTTTTTACAACCAGAACAGAACATAGTTGTTGCTTTAGACAAGAGAATTCAGGCCAAGAAACTCCCCGAAGGTGGGAGAGTGGAGGTGGGCTCGTGGCATCTAGTACAGCTTCTTCTCACCGGCCGTTTTCTCGGTGTTGGCTGAGGCCAACTTCGTAATGCATTCCTGGACTCCCTCAGCACCGGGGTGGAAACAGACCTCCTGCCCACCCCTGGTTTTGAAACTGGGAAAGAAGGGGGAGAAAGATTATACAGTGAGGAGGGTTCTGCAAATAAGGATGAGGAGCCCCATCCTCCCAGCCCCTGGGCTTCCCTAGCTCAGTCCATCTTGTTCCCCCCTTTCTCTGCTGCAGGGTCTCAGGGGGTCTCCTCTGGGAGACCCTGCCTCTGGCACCCTCTCAGTGACTCAGGGGCGTGTCCCTGAGCAGCCTTGCTCCTGCTCTCCCCACCGCTCCATGGCCTCCCCCTTCACTGGGAGCATCTGGTATCTGATGCTGTGCAGGATCCTAATGAGGACACGAACCTCTGCAGACTTCAAAGCATCCAGAGGTTGAGACTTTTCTGGACCTCCGTCCATCATCAGATCCCCAACCCAAAGACATGGCCTGTAGGCTTGGGACTTACATGACAGCAGCCTGGGAGCACCCAATGGTTGTTAGAAAATAATCCTTCATGATTTTACATCGGATCCTTCGTGTGGTGTAGGAGGAGCAGCAGTCAGTGGGACGGTGCACACCTGTAGCAGGGGAAAGGTCCATGTAAGGACAGAGCCTCTTTCTGAGGAAACTACATCCCCCCCCCTTGTCTGCAGAGCATGGGAGGGTGTGAAGGGGAAGAGCTCCAGGGGTGCTTCCTCCTCTGCAGCACCTGCTGGCATGTCCTTGCTGCCCCCCAGGGTTGAGCTGTGCACCCAGGCAGGGCCAGGACCCCTTCTCCCCAAGGTGAGCAGACTCCAGGACAGCCAGGTGGGAGAGAGGTCGTGTGTGGGGAGGGACCCACAGTGCACCCTGGTCCCCCTTGGAGATGTCCCCTCCCCCTTTCCCCATGTCCTGTAAACGAGGAGGACTGAAGCCACTGAGCAGATCTGTACCCAACAGCCGCCTTTAAATACATGCACAATGAAACATTTACCTGCATGCTGTATCCTGGAATCATCCTGCTCATGCATGGCTGATCCGAGTTCTATTGGGAGACAGAGACAAGGAGGGAAGAGGAATCACTGGGAGGCGGCACCGTGTCCGTGTCTCCACCTGTGTCGCCCCCCAGCCCAGCCCCGGGGGAGGGGGCGACGCTGCTGCTGGACACTGGGCGCCCGTCTGTGTTCTGGGCCTGCCCCCTGGCCCGTTGTCTCACTGGTGCCCTGAGATTTCTGAGGGGACTTCTGAAAATGTTTGAGCCATGAAAACGTTCTATCCACTTCCTTTCTTTCCTGTTGACTCTAAATACAGAGAGCAAACAGCAAATGCCACATGGATAAATCAGTCACACAGCCACAGCAGGTGCCATAGCCCACAACATGCTCCCCACGCATTTCTGGAACCCACAGGGCCCTGGAGACCAAAAGGTGTTCTTCGTTACGTGATTTGGTGGCACAGAGTCCCCCAAAGTGAAGTGAGGCAATTTATAGTCTTTGTCCCATTAGCATAAATATTCGTGTCTGTCTGTGGCAGAAATGTTACTATTTGATTCTAGTGTGCTTCCCAGAGTCAGCTAGGACTGTTAAGAATGTCCAGTTATGTGTTATCTTTTAAAATTATGTTTATTTTTTTAATGTGTGTTAATATAAAGTGTACAACTTTGACCTTGCTCTTCTGTCTCAGACTCTGACTCAGGGCCCTGCAGGGATCGAGACCCGAGAAGTGCATGCTGGGTGGGGCAGAAGTGGGTTCACAGGTGTTTGTGTGGGAATAGTACAGTAATTAAGAAATAACAACACAAGAGTGAGCTCTGTGTTTCCCGTGTTCACAACTGTGAATACACTTTTATCACACCCCGTAGTTATCAGGGGAATGAATGGCAAAGAGACCTGGTGGGGACTGTGAAGGGCTCAGGGATCAGATAAGACAAGGCGGAAATGCCATCAGAGCCGTAAGAACAGTCACAATTCTTTGAGGCTCAGAGGGAGCACAGAGCTGTGTACTTTAGACCAGACTGAGCAAATGCTAACCATTTTCCAATGTGCACTTTAAAGCATGAAGGACATTCGTATCCTGTGCAACTGTAACCACAGACTACCCACGGGGCTTTATTCATCTCGTAAACTTGCACCTCTGTACCAGCTGGACAGTGACTCCCCACTTCCCTGTCCCCAGCCCCGGGCCACCACCACTCCACACTGTGTCTCTATGACTTGGCTGCTTTGAGGGCCTCATGTCAGTGGAATCACAGGGTGTTCACCCTGCGTTATTGGCTCATCTCACTTATCATAACGTCGTGCTCAGTGTTCCTCCATGTGGTGGCACGTGTCCCAATTTCTGTCCTTTTTGGCTGAATAATATTCTATTGTGTGCACAATATATCCCCCACTTTGAATCCATTCATTTGTTTATGGACCCTTGGGGTGCTTCCCCCCGGGGGTGTGTTAGGAATGGTGTGGCTGTTAGCACGGGTGCACCTGTGTCTCCCAGGTACCTGCTTCCTGTTCTTTCGGGTGTGTATCCGGAGGTGGAGTTGCCGGTGATATTGTATCACCTTTTCAAACCTCTGCCTTTCAAAGCCTCTGCCTTCCAAAGTGCACCCGGCCCCTGTGTTCTGGGGAAGGGACTGTAGGCCTGCGTTATGCTGGTTAGGCGAACACGCTGAGCTGTTGGCTCACTTCCTATGCAGTTCCCCGTGAGTTATGTTTAATGAGGCACGTGGGTACCGTCCAGTGTGCTCGATATGATGTGTGTGGGGCTGGCAAAATAAAGTCTTAAATGGGTTGGTTTACGTTTCATAACAGCTTCCTAGCTAGATCATATCCTGACTCCACCACTTACTGGCTGTGGGATCTGAGCATGTTTATCCAAGGCCTCTGTGCCTCAGTGTCTCATGTGCAAAATGAGACTAATAATTATACCCCCAAACCACCCTGGCTGGTGTAGCTCAGTGCATTGAGTGTGGGCCTGTGAACCAGAGGGTTGCTGGTTGGATTCCCAGTCAGGGCACATGCCTGAGTTGTGGGCCAGGTCCCCAGTAGGGGGTGCATGACAGTCCACTGGACATGATGTTTCTCTCTCTCTATTTCTCCTTCTCATCCTCTCTCTCTAAAAGTAAATCAATTCTTTAAAAAAAATAATGCTCAAGACCATGCCCCATGCTGGCCGTCTGCTCCACAGGGTTGTCAGGAGGGTTCGGTGCATCAGTGTCTGTGAGACGATGGCAGTGGTTTCTGCTTGTACAAGGCAGTGGAGGTTGTCACTGGTTACTAAGTCAGTAGGACGGTTGGGTGGACTCGGGTGAGTCACCAGCCCAGCTTGTCCCATCTCCTCTTCAAACTGATAGTCTGCGCTGCACGGGATACACTAGTTCAACATTGGAGGCGACTGTGCTTTTTTGCCCAGTTCACAATCTGCTACAATTCTTTGGTTCAAGCTCATAATGGTCCCATATGAGCTAAGGGAAGGTATCAGATAATTGTGGCCATGAAAAGGAAGGAGAATTGTTTCCCGAGTGGTCTGTGCACTTTCCCCAGGGAACAAAGGCCACAGGGCAAGGTCCATACCCTGCTGCTGCTGCTGCTGCCTTTAAGCAAGTGCCAAATTCACCTCCACAGAACCTCTGTGTCTCCTCCCTGGAATTCAGGTTACCCCCAAATTGGTCACCAGTGCAAAGGGTTTCTCACTCACCACGGGCCGGCGATCCACGGGCCAGGCGTCCAAGGGCAGCAGCAAGGATGAGGAAGGGGAGGATAGCTGCAGAGACCTTCATCTTGCAGGTGTGAGGGCAGAGCTGGCCTGAGTACTCCTGGGCTCTCTGCTCTTGACTCGCTGGGACCCCAGGCCTGCCCTGGAGTTTATAAAGGGGAGGAAAATCAGGAAGTCACGAGGCAGAGGTCACTGGGCTACTCTTCTGCTGTATATTTGGCAACTTGATATTTTTAAGAAGCTAAGAAGTCTGGGAGTGCAACAGGAAGTTGAGGGCAACGATAACTTGGGGTTTTCTCAGCTGCCCAATGTTATCGGCAAAAGTCAAAATTTCAGATAGGCCTCAGCCAAGACAGGGTCTGGGGACCCTGTTGCAGGAGCTGTCCTGCACTATGAGGGTCATGGAAGTGTCACAGGAAGGAGTACCTGTAGGGGTACCTGCCTACAGGCAGGGGTACCAGGGAGCTCTCTGGGTACCTTCTTCCCCTTGTGAAGCATCTGCCTTCTTCTTCTTGCTCTGTTTGTAAATGTCATGTCTGCAAGCACCAGATTGCGATGCTTATTTTTGCCCAAACGAATCCTTTTTGTGGAGGGAATACCCAGGTGGATTTTTGTTTATGGTAGACAAGAGTGACCGTATTTTATTTATTTTTTTGAAATCTGAATTGATCACATGTTTATTGACTTGAGAGACAGAGAGAGAGAAAGAGAGAGAGAAAGAGAGAGAGAACAATTATGTGAGAGAGAATCTTCAATCAATTGCTTACCTTAGGTATCCCGAGCTGGGATCAAACACGCAACCTTTTTAAAAAATCTTCATTTTATTGTTGTTCCATTACAGTTGTCTGCCTTTAGACCCACCACTGTCCCCCCGCCCCTGCCATCCCTACCTCCCTCCCTTTCTTCCACTCCCCCTTGATTTTTTTCCATGTGTCCTTTATACTCGTTTCTGAAAGCTCTTTCCCCCTTTCCCGCCATTTATCCCCTTCCACCTCCCCTCTGGTTACTGTCAGATTGTTCTTAATTTCAATGTCTCTGGTTATATTTTACTTGTTTTTTTTTTGTTGTTTAGATTCTAGTTAATGGTGAGATCATATGTCCCTTACCACCTGGCTTATTTCACTCAGCAGAATGTTCTCTGGTTCCATCCATGATGTGGCAAAGGGTAGGCGCTCCTTCTTTCTTTGTGGTGCGTAGAATTCCATTGTGTAAATGTACCACAGTGTTTTGATCCATTCATTTACTGATGGGCACCTAGGTTGCTTCCAATTCTTGGCTATTGTAAATTGTGCTGCTATGATCATTGGGGTGCATAGGTTCTTTTGGATTGGTGTTTCAGGACTCTTAGGCTATAATCCCAGCAGTGGAATTTCCGGGTCAAAAGGCAGTTTCATTCTTGATTTTTTGTGCTAACTCCATACTGCTTTTCATAGCGGCTGCACCAGTCTGCATTCCCACCAACAGTGCACTAGGGTTCCCTCTTCTCCACATCCTCTCCAACACTTGTTGTTGTTAATTTGTTTATGATGGCCATTCTCTCCCATGTGAAGTGGTATCTCATTTGGGTTTTATTTTGCATCCATATGATGGCTAGTGTGCTGAGCAATTTCTTATGTCTCTGGGCCCTCTGTATGTCCTGCTTGGAGAAGTGTCTGTTCAAGTCTTTTGCTCATTTCTTGATAGGAGAACATGCAGCCTTTCAATGTGTGGGACGGTTCTCCAACCAACTGAGCCCTCGGCCAGGGCTGAGCTCATTTTGTTGTTTAACGATGGACATGTATGTGTGCTTGTTCTGACTTTGGTTTCTGTTCCAATTACTATTGCTTTCGCTAATTTAGATTTTATATTCAAATGGGCAAATGTTCCTGGTTTCATCTTCTAGTGTTTCATGGCATTTATATTTTTTCTCTTAGTGTTTCTTCTGTTAGGTCATTTGTAAAGAGCTGTAGCCTGTAGCAATGACTCAAACACTGGGCAGGGTCTGTGAACATTATTGTTCAAATAACATCAAATTCACCTCTCCTAGCAAGTTGAAATTGCCAGTTTAAGGACTTACTTTACTTCCAAAATGTAGTTCTTGAAACATCAATGTGATTTCTATAAAACAGGCTATATATACAAACTCACCAATATTTACTCAGCAGCAGACAAGGCCATGAACTCACAGTTGAAATGTAGCAAAGGCTTCAAGGTAATAAACCGTGACCCCTTCCTTCCTGTGTCCTTCCATCATGATTCCCCCAATGCTGATCTTAACTTTGACCTCCATGTGTCAAAAGTTTCCGGCTCTTGCTCTTGATGTCATTGGGTTACTTTATTATTTTCTTCAGTATATTTTAATGATGATGCTACTACAGTTGTCCCATTTTCTCTCCCCTTTATCCCCCTCCGTGCTGCCCCCATTTCCCATCAGCATCACCGCTCCCCACTTAGTTCAGGTTCATGGGTCATACACAGAAGTTCTTGGGCTTCTTCATTTTCTATACTTTTCCTAACCTCCCCCTGTCTATTTGGTGCTTACTGTTTAGGCTTCTTATTCCATGTACCTTTCCCCCCACTTTTCCCTCTCTGCCTCGCCACCGATACCCCTCCATGTGATCTCCATTTCTGTGATTCTCTTCCTATCCTAGTTGTTAGCTTAGTTTGTTTTTGCTTTTTAGGTTCAGAGTTTGATTATTGTGAGTTTGTTGTTATTTCACTGCTCATAGTCTGATCTTATTTGTGGGAGGAACTCTGTCCAGCAGCGTGCTCCTCCTGTCCACTGCGGATGAGAAATAAGTCGTCCCGGACGCAATCTTGCTGTTCCAGTGGGAAAGAGGATGGCAACTCCTTCTAGTGGAGAATGCCCCATGCCCTTCTCCCAAATGGCTTTTATTGGGAGTGGGATGTGTAGGTGTATATACAGAGAGCTCATCAACCAGTGTCAGAAAGGCCCTAGTCACACAAACACAGGTATTATCTACAGATGACAATTGAAGGAACACAGAGATCTGTCACAGGTCAGGGTCTGTTGGTCACAGTGACTCCAGAGGGTCTTTTGGTTGTATTTCATGAGACAAGGAGTTTACTTCTTATGCCTTGAACTTAAACATCTGGTTGATATCACCAGGGCCATACAGAGCAAAGCAGAGCAAGCTTCAAAGGATACAATGTATTTATCAGGCTTGATTCCCGTGGGGACCCTCATGCTTCCCTCCCACGTTTTTACCTGGTTTTCCAGGGAGACTTACTAGCCCCTTTTGGGGCTTGCTCTCCAGGGGCCACAGTCTCAGAAACCAAACAGAATGATTCCCAACACTTACTCTTAGATGAGTCCCTTTAACAGTTCACAGGACGAGAGCTTGGTGATGATACACTGCTTTAACTTGACCTTATCTGGGAAGCACTTTACCTGCCCTTGGGAAATGCACTTTTGATTGAAGTTCTGTTTGCTCTTGATCAGGCCCCGGACTTTGTGAGATTACATGTGAACTTACCAATTTCGGTCAAGCACAGAGGCATGTGGTGTTTGTCCAGTAGAAAAGACAACCCAAAAGTTACAGTTATATTGTAATATTGGATATTAGTCGGTTTTTAACTAAGTTCCAGAATGCCATTCCCAACCAACTGTGTAAAGCTCTGTTCCTCGGATGGTCTTAGAATCAGTTTTATGGTTCCCTCACTAGTGGGTCAAGTACATCTTTCGTACACATTGTGTCCATCGGTAGTTGAATGAGTCATGTTTTTACCTTCTTAAAAATGATTTTCTGATGGCTCATTTTTAAATAAACCACAAATCCAAAGCCCACCAATTTCTACATTTTTTATTCTTCTTCCAGTTCAACCACAGTCAAATTGGGTACTTTTTATTGGTGCACAGTTTTTACAAGGAACAGAACATAATTGCTGCTTTAGACAAGAGAATTCAGGCCAAGAAACTCCCCAAAGGTGGGAGAGTGGAGGTGGGCTCGTGGCATCTAGTACAGCTTCTTCTCACCGACCGTTTTCTCGGTGTTGGCTGAGGCCAACTTCGTAATGCATTCCTGGACTCCCTCAGCACTGGGGTGGAAACAGACCTCCTGCCCACCCCTGGTTTTGAAACTGAGAAAGAAGCGGGAGAAAGATTATACAGTGAGGAGGGTTCTGCAAATAAGGATGAGGAGCCCCATCCTCCCAGCCCCTGGGCTTCCCTAGCTCAGTCCATCTTGTTCCCCCCTTTCTCTGCTGCAGGGTCTCAGGGGGTCTCCTCTGGGAGACCCTGCCTCTGGCACCCTCTCAGTGACTCAGGGGCGTGTCCCTGAGCAGCCTTGGTCCTGCTCTCTCCACCGCTCCATGGCCTCCCCCTTCACTGGGAGCATCTTATATCTGATGCTGTGCAGGATCCTAATGAGGACACGAACCTCTGCCGACTTCAAAGCATCCAGAGGGTGAGACTTTTCCGGACCTCCGTCCATCATCAGATCCCCAACCCAAAGACATGGCCTGTAGGCCTGGGACTTACATGACAGCAGCCTTGGAGCACCCACTGGTTGTTAGAAAATAATCCTTCATGATTTCACATCGGATACTTCGTGTGGTGTAGGAGGGGCAGCAGTCAGCGGGACGGTGCACACCTGTAGCAGGGGAAAGGTCCATGTAAGGACAGAGCCTCTTTCTGAGGAAACTACATCCTCCCCCCTTGTCTGCAGAGCACAGGGGAGGGTGTGAAGGGGAAGAGCTCCAGGGGTGCTTCCTCCTCTGCAGCACCTGCTGGCATGTCCTTGCTCCCCCCCCACCCCAGGGTTGAGCTGTGCACCCAGGCAGGGCCGGGACCCCTTCTCCCAGAAGGGGAAGGTGCGATGCTGCAGGAGGTGTCAGGGAGGCCCTTCTCCCCAAGGTGAGCAGACTCCAGGACAGCCAGGTGGGAGAGAGGTCGTGTGTGGGGAGGGACCCACAGTGCACCCTGGTCCCCCTTGGAGATGTCCCCTCCCCCTTTCCCCATGTCCTGTAAATGAGGAGGACTGAAGCCACTGAGCAGATCTGTACCCAACAGCCGCCTTTAAATACATGCACAATGAAACAACTCCTTGGTCTATTAAGGATTGATCCCAATCATATATGGCCAACTCGAGTTCTATTGGGAGACAGAGACAAGGAGGGAAGAGGAATCACTGGGAGGCGGCACCGTGTCCGTGTCTCCACCTGTGTCGCCCCCCAGCCCAGCCCTGGGGGAGGGGGCGACGCGGCTGCTGGACACTGGGCGCCCGTCTGTGTTCTGGGCTTGCCCCCTGGCCCGTTGTCTCATTGGTGCCCTGAGATTTCTGAGGGGACTTCTGAAAATGTTTGAGCCATGAAAACGTTCTATCCACTTCCTTTCTTTCCTGTTGACTTTAAATAGAGAGAGCAAACAACAAATGCCACATGGATAAATCAGTCACACAGCCACAGCAGGTGCCATAGCCCACAACATGCTCCCCACGCATTTCTGGAACCCACAGGGCCCTGGAGACCAAAAGGTGTTCTTCGTTAAGTGATTTGGTGGCACAGAGTCCCCCAAAGTGAAGTGAAACTATAGTCTTTGTCCCATTAGCATAAATATTTGTGTCTGTCTGTGGCAGAAATGTTACTATTTGATTCTAGTGTGCTTCCCAGAGTCAGCTAGGACTGTTAAGAATGTCCAGTTATATATGTTATCTCTTGAAAATGTTTATTTTTTTGAATGTGTGGTAAAATACACATAAGTATACAAATGTGACCTTGCTCTTCTGTCTCAGACTCTGACTCAGGGCCCTGCAGGGATCAAGACCCGAGAAGTGCATGCTGGGTGGGGCAGAAGTGGGTTCACAGGTGTTAGTGTGGGAATAGTTCAACAATAATTAACAAATTACTACACAAGAGTGAGCTCTGTGTTTCCCGTGTTCACAACTGTGAATACACTTTTATCACACCCCGTAGTTATCAGGGGAATGAATGGCAAAGAGACCTGGTGGGGACTGGAAGGGCTCAGGGATCAGATAGGACAAGGCGGAAATGCCATCAAAGCCATAAGAACAGTCACAATTCTTTGAGGCTCAGAGGGAGCACAGAGCTGTGTACTTTAGACCAGACTGAGCAAATGCTAACCATTTTCCAATGTGCACTTTAAAGCATGAAGGACATTCGTATCCTGTGCAACTGTAACCACAGACTATCCACGAGGCTTTATTCATCTCGTAAACTTGCACCTCTGTACCAGCTGGCAGTCACTCCCCACTTCCCTGTCCCCAGCCCTGGGCCACCACCACTCCACACTGTGTCTCTCTGACTTGGCTGCTTTGAGGGCCTCATGTCAGTGGAATCACAGGGTGTTCACCCTGCGTTATTGGCTCATCTCACTTATCATAACGTCGTGCTCAGTGTTCCTCCATGTGGTGGCACGTGTCCCAATTTCTATCCTTTTTGGCTGAATAATATTCTATTGTGTGCACAATATATCCCCCACTTTGAATCCATTCATTTGTTGATGGACACTTGGGGTGCTTCCCCCCGGGGTGTGTTAGGAATGGTGCGGCTGTTAGCACGGGTGCACCTGTGTCTCCCAGGTACCTGCTTCCTGTTCTTTCGGGTGTGTATCCGGAGGTGGAGTTGCTGGTGATATTGTATCACCTTTTCAAACCTCTGCCTTTCAAAGCCTCTGCCTTCCAAAGTGCACCCGGCCCCTGTGTTCTGGGAAGGGGACTGTAGGCCTGCGTTATGCTGGTTAGGCGAACGCGCTGAGCTGTTGGCTCACTTCCTATGCAGTTCCCCGTGAGTTATGTTTAATGAGGCACGTGGGTACCGTCCAGTGTGCTCGATATGATGTGTGTGGGGCTGGCAAAGTAAAGTCTTAAATGGGTTGGTTTACGTTTCATAACAGCTTTCTAGCTAAAGCGTATCGTAACTCTACCACTTACTGGCTGTGGGATCTGAGCATGTTATCCAAGGCCTCTGTGCGTCAGCTTCTCATGTGTAAAATGAGACTAATAATAATACCCCCAAACCACCCTGGCTGGAGTAGGTCAGTGGATTGAGCATGGGCTTGCAAACCAAAGGGTTGCTGGTTCGATTCCTACTCAGTCCTCCTGTCTGGATTAGGGGCCAGGTCCCAAGTAGAGGGTGCACAGTGGGCTACCACACATGTTGTTTCTCTCCCTCTCTTTCTCCTTCCCTTCCTCTCTCTAAAAATGAATAAATAAAATCTTTAAAAAATACTGAAAACCATGCCCCATGCTGGCCGTCTGCTCCACAGGGTTGTCAGGAGGGTTCGGTGCATCAGTGTCTGTGAGACAATGGCAGTGGTTTCTGCTTGTACAAGGCAGTGGAGGTTTTCCCTTGTTACTAAGTCAGTAGGACGGTTGGGGGACTCGGGTGAGTCACCAGCCCAGCTTGTCCCATCTCCTCTTCAAACTGATAGTCTGCACTGCACGGGATACACTAGTTCAACACTGGAGGCGACTGTGCTTTTTTGCCCAGTTCACAATCTGCTACAATTCTTTGGCTCAAGCTCATAATGGTCCCATATGAGCTAAGGGAAGGTATCAGATAATTGTGGCCATGAAAAGGGAGGAGAACTGTTTCCCGAGTGGTCTGTGCACTTTCCCCAGGGAACAAAGGCCACAGGGCAAGGTCCATACCCTGCAGCTGCTGCTGCCTTTAAGCAAGTGCCAAATCCACCTCCACGGCCCTCTGTCTCCTCCCTGGAATTTAGGTTACCACCAAATTGGTCACCAGTGCAAAGGCTCGCTGACTCACCATTGCTCAGGGATAGGGATCCACCCCGGCTGGCTCCACTGGCCGGGCTTCCAAGGGCAGCAGCGAGGACGAGGAAGGGGAGGGCAGCTGTGAAGACCTTCATCCTGCAGGTGTGAGGGCAGAGCTGGCCTGAGGACTCCGGGCTCTCTGCTCCCGACTCCCTGGGACCCCAGGCCTGCCCTGGTGTTTATAAGGGGAGGAGAATCAGGTAGTCACAGGGTAGATGTCAACAGGTTGCCCTTTGGCCATATAGTGGCAACACATTTCTCATAAGGGAACCAGTCTGGGAGTGCAACAGGAAGTTGAGGGCCACGATGACTTAGGGTTTTCTCAGCTGTGCAGTGGATGTAGGCAGAAGTGTGAAAATTTCAGAGAGTGGCCTCAGCCAGGACAGGAGTCAGAGGACCCTGTGCAAGGAGTTGTCCCATCCTGTGAGGGTCATGGAAGTGCCACAGGAAGAAGTACCTGTAGGGGTACCTGCCTACAGGCAGGGGTACCAGGGAGCTCTCTGGGTAACTTCTTCTTCCCCTTGTGAAGCATCTGCCTTCTTCTTCTTGCTCTGTTTGTAAATGTCATGTCTGCAAGCACCAGATTGCGATGCTTATTTTTACCCAAACGAATCCTTTTTGTGGAGGGAATACCCAGTCGGATTTTTGTTTATGGTAGACAAGAGTGACCATATGTTATTTTTTTAATCTCACCTGCAGATATATTTATAGATTTGCAAGAGGGTGAAAGAAAAGCATTCCCATGAGCAAGAAACTAAATGATTGCCTATCTCGCACATTTCGACTAAGAATGGACCACGCAGCTTTTTGATGTGTGGGTCAGCTCTCCAACCAACTGAGCCCTTGGCCAGGGCTGAACTCATTTTCTAACAATGGACATGTATGTGTGCTTGTTCTGATTCTGGTTTTCATCCCAATTATTATTGCTTTCATTAGTTTAGATTTTATATTCAAATTAGCAAACGTTTCTGGTTTCATCTCCCAGTGTTCCATGGCATTTATATTTTTTCTCTTAGCGTTTCTTGTTAGGTCATTTGTAAAGAGTTATAGCCTGTAGCAATGACTCAAACACTGGGCAGGGTCCGTGAACATTATTGTTCCAATAACATCAGATTCACTTCTCCTATGAGGTCGAAATTGCCAGTTTAAGGAGTTACTTTACTTCCAAAACGTATTTCTCGAAAGATCAGTGTGATTTGTATACAATAGGCTATATATACACACTCACTAACATTTACTGAGCAGCAGACGAGGCCACGAACATGGCAGAGGCTTCACGCGGATGGACCATGACCTCTTCCTTCCTGGGTCCTCCCGCCCTGAGTCCCCAAAAGGCCGATCTTAACTTTGACCTCCATGGGCGAAAAGTTTCCGGCTCTTGCTCTCGATGTCATTGGGTTCCTTTAAATCAGCACCATTTCTATGATGATTGTTAAACTTTAATTCCTCTAGAATTGGAACACATTTCCCTGTTTTCCCAGTTTTTCAATACAATTATCTTGAGAGTTGAGGTTTGGGAAAACATCTGATTTCCTAAGAAGCGCTGGGAAGGAATTCCCCCCGGAAGTGCTAGTGGATGCCCGGGGTTGGGGGTTGAGGGGTGGGGGGGTGGGACCACAATTCCCTTAAGGCCTCAGGGGAGGCTGGCGGGGTGCGGGGAGGCTGCCATGGCCAGAGGACCCGAGCCTCTGCCTAGGAAGCGGGAACGCTGGACTTGTCCTTGTTTCTGCCCCTGGAAGGTGCGTGACTCCAGACAGGACACTCCACAGCCTTTCTGAACCTCTGTCCCTAAAATGGCAAATAGCGTTGATGGGGCAAGTAGCGTGGACTCTGATCCGTGTACCCTTGATTGTTTTGTGCGATAAAGGCCTTGTTCCTCCAAGTGACAGATGAGGAAGCTGAGGCTCAGGAAGCCTGCACGGGGCATGGCCGAGGCCTCAGCTGACCGGTGCAGAGCCTCCAGGCAGCGGCTCCCCGGCAGCAGACGTCTGTGTTCTGATGCATCTCTAGATTCCAGGGCATTCACTGCAGGGGTGGTTCAAACTGGGCTTTTAATATACACATTTGTGGGATGAACGAATGTGAATTCAATTTGAACTTGCGTCTCTCTGACTGTAGAGCCAATGATTTCTCCATTTTGTTTTGCCGTTCTCTGGAGAAAAAATCAAAAGATTCCATGTTTTAAGTCTCTGCCATAGGCCTGGTACAAGGCTTTCTTCCCGACTTATCTGCGGTCCTCACGACAACCCCCTGAGATGGCATCCGTTACCCCGTTTGCAGGGGGAGAAGTTTCGCAGTGGTACCCAGAATTATGGGAAAGCACTGAGGAGCTGTGTGGCTTGGCCGAGGTCAAAATTTCTGGAAAATAGCTCTCATTCCTCGGAGCAGCAGGGATGCCCAATGAGAGGCCTGGGGCCCAGCAGGTTTCCATCTCTGAATTTGGTTGAGATTCAACTCAGGAGAGTTGAGATTCAGGAAATGTCCTCCCAGGACCCCCACCGGGCCTCTTTCTCCCCTGGCCCCAGCCTCCAGCAGAGAGGCAACCAGGCCTGGTTAGGGCGGGGAGGGCAGGGAGCTGGGCATCGGGCACCTGGGGTCACCTGGTGACTCCCCTTTCAGAGTCACCTGCTGCTTACTCTTCTTGTGTCCCACAGACGTTTATTGAGACTTTCTACCTGCCAGGAGGGGGAATGTGCCATAGTCACATCTGGACAGATCTTAGAGGGGAAGGAGAGAGGCTGACACAGGGGCCCCAGGCTCACATGCCCGCCAGGCCAGGAGGACAGCTGCGGGGTGTGGCCTGGCAGCAGGGGCTCCTGGGCCCTGGGGAGGGTGCCCCTGTCCACAGGGACAGCACTGTCCTCCTTAGTTAAAGGTTACCTCGTAGAAACTCTGGCTCAGGCCTGCTTGGCTTTTCATATTTGCAGAAGGAATTGTCACTGTAGACATTGTAAATGTTTCCAATCCTTAAAGGTTGGCAACTGAGTCGAGCTTGTAAAACCCCATCTGAGCCTCAAAGACACCTCCATCCTTTGCGGTTCCTTCTCCCCTAGTCACCCTTGGTGACAGGAGCTGACATGTGGCTCCTGTGTGTCCCCAGGAGGTGGCTGAGCAGATGTTCTGGAAGGCTCTGGATTAGCTTCTCTGTGGAGAGACCCCAAGGGCCAGCTCCACAGGGGGGCAGGTTTCCCTCTCCCTGGAGGAGAGAGAAGCGAGTCCTGCCCGGGAACGGGGTGAGGCTCCTGGCGAAGGTGCTCTATGTCCCCAGGGGCCCCCGGGCTAGGAGAGCCCGGCCGACCCTCATCCTTCTGGTGGGTGACCAGCTGCAGGAACGGAGCCGGGCCGAAGACTCCTGGGCTCTCTGACTCCTTGAAGTCTGGGCTCTGAGCCTCCTTTATGTGACAGGTTGCTGGTCAGGAAGTCACAAGATAGGAAAATCCACCAGGGTTTTGTTTGCTGAGCTGTGACTGTTGACACAACTAATACTGGTTTCATCAAAGAGAACCAGGAGGCAGAGAATGACCCTAGGTTTCACATTCCGTGTGCACCGTGAGGGTGGTAGTGGGGGAAGCCCAGAGACCAAGGGCTTTGTGGGGCAAGCGCCCTCCACTCCTGCCCCTCCCCAGAGAACATGGTTAGGCCTCTACAGTGAGCCCATCCTCAGGTGCTGACCATGGGTTCAGAGGCCTGGTCCACTGTGTCAGGCTTAGCAACTCCAGGCCTCAACAACATAGGCATATGGACTCAGGTCTGATGGGGGCTGGGAGCAGGGAGGAGGGTCTGCGGGGATCCTGGAATGGACGGGCCTCCCAGCCAGGATGGACTGGAACACCTCACCTAAGCTGACAGCCTCCGCCCCTGCCCAGCACCAGGAGCTCGGCCAGGTCCTTAGCAACCAAGAAAGGTGCACAGGGCTCTCTGCTCCATCAGGACTGCACGGGGGCTGAGGGACGAGTTCCTTCTGGGTCAGGCTAGAGGAGCCAGAGGCAGGACAGTGAGGCTGTGCCCTGTGGTTTATGCCGGGACAGGTCATAGGTGTTTTTCATCCCTTCCCTTCTCTGGAGGTGACTAAGGCCAGTACCCACGGACACAGCTCCCGGGGTGTCATTCACAGGCAGTGGTCAGATCTGTGCTGCCTGGAGCACAGTTCCATAGAATACAACTGTGTCTTGTCACCCTCCAGTTTGGGCTGCAGGGTCCCTGCACAGCGACACGATGGTTTGGTGACTGGGAGGTAGTGTGACCCACCATTCTCAGTTGCCTGGGATGAAGGCAGTTCCTGGAGTGTGGTGTTGCGGGAGAAACCTGGTTCTTCTTGCCAACACAGGACAGAATTATAGATCAGCAAGCCTATTAGCATGCAAGCAAAGTTCACTAGTACTATGTTCTCATGGAAGAGAATGGGCCTTGCCAACGCGGGTGGGGGCAGGGGCAAGAGCAGGGGTAGCAAGAGCAAGGGTGGTGAGAGGCCAGGGTGGCCAGAGGCCAGGTTTTTCCTGTCAACAGCAGGACTTTCAGTGCTGACATGGAGAGGAGTCGGTCGCCCCGCTGGGAAGTTGGGTAGATGTGACTATTTGCCTCCTCCACTCCCACCAAGTTCAGATTAAGCAATTGTGGGTTTCTTCTCCAAAAGCATCCATTGTGGTAAATACACATCATATAAAATTTATCGTTGTAATTATTTTTAAGTATACACTTCAGTGGCATTAAGTACATTTATCTATTATGCAATTATTATTGCCTAGCCACAGAACATTTTTCCTCTTGCAAGCTGAAACTCGATAGCCATTAAACCTAACTCCCCATTCCCCACTCCTCCCAGCCACTAGAAATCTCTGTTCCATTTTCCATCTCTAGGAACTTGACTATTCTAGGTACCTCATACACAAGTAGAGTCACACCGTATTTGTCTTTTGGTGACTGGCTGATTTCACTTAGCCTAATGCCCTCAAGTTTCATTCATTTTGTAGCATGTGTCATAATTTCTTTGCTTTTAAAGACGGAGTAATATTCTGTTGCACATATACCCTCTCGTATACCTGTTCTGCTTACCCATTCATCTGTCGATGGATGCTTGCGTTGCTTCCCCATTTGAGCTATTGTGAATAATGCTGTTATGAACAGGGATATACAAATATTTCTTTGAGACCCCTGTTTCCAGTTTTTTTGGGTACATATACCCAGAAGTGGGATTGCCTGGGTCATATGGTGAATCCGTTTTTAAGTTTTTGCCCATTTTCCACAGCAGTTG